CCTCCCCAGCCTGACCAGGGCCCACTGGATGGCAACGTCCCTCTGGACGGTCCTCGGTGCTGCCCGCGTAACTCAGCAGAGGCAGCGCTGGCTGCTCAGCCCTCTCCTCCCGTGCCGTTGGGCTCAGGATGTGCGCTGCATGTGCAGCGGGGAGACCCCAGGTAGGAGGCTCACATCCTCGTGCAGCTTTCAGTGCCTTCAATGCTGTTGTCATCCTTGTCTCTATAGGAGTCGGTCTGCCTGCAGCCGAACTACTTCTGTTCCTGTTTCTGCTGAAGTTTTACTCTTTGGGGGTATTTGTGTCGAGCGGATGGCAAAACGTGACCAGTGGTTTTAGGTTTGAGTTTTGCATGGAAGTTTGGGAAATTGCAGCTTGTGTGGCTGTTGTACCTACAGTTTCGGAAGATCGGACTCTTCAACATGAGTCTGATTAGTATCAAAAAACCACTTGTGATTCATCTTTAAAAAAAAAATAATACTTAAAGTGTTCATGCTTCAAGATGTACTTGGAGCTACTGCTTAGGAAACTCCTAGGGCTGTTGTGGGAATGACATGAATCTTCTTTCTGCCTGCAGACCCCTTTGCTGATGCAACAAAGGGTGACGACTTACTCCCGGCGGGGACTGAGGATTACATTCATATAAGGATCCAGCAACGAAACGGAAGGAAGACACTGACAACTGTTCAGGGAATTGCAGATGATTATGACAAGAAGAAACTTGTGAAAGCTTTCAAAAAGGTGAAGTTGCGGATTTGATTTGATACTAAAGCTATTATATGCAGGAGCTTTTGGTACTCAGTAGCAGGATATTTGTTTTATTTCCTTCAGTGCACACGACTGTCATACTCGGGTTGATCCCTTTCCCTGTCTTTCTCAAAACTCCTGTCAGTGTCTAGTGACACTGATTTTTGCTAAAAAGTTCAACGTTTCTTTCCTGAGTAAAGTAAATAAGAGATATTCTGACTGTTTCATTAAAATCTCACTGGTGAAAATCTGCCTTTGTTGATGTGAAGAATGAAATCAGTTTGAAGTGGGACTGTTTTTGCAT